CTTGGACCCGCCAGGAGGACCTGCCCCACAGTTTGAGAATCACCGATCTGTCTGAATGTATTAGACCCGATCCAGGTCCTGTTCCAGAGCATCCAAGGAAACAAACCGAAGTCAAATATTCAATTGGGTTTTGACTTTTATGTCACATTGTAGTCATGACTTTAAAATAGACACATAAAATATCAACTTAAAACAATAAACAATTGCAGCATTATTAGAATGAATGTGTCCATTTCAATTATTGGATTGAAATATGGTGGCATTACACAGATTAGTGGATTAACTACAGGGCGCCTGCAGTGAAGCAATTTTATTTAATTTAAGTAGAATAAGACCCACCAGTGTGACTTGATAATGTGTTAATTTGATGTCCCTTAAACATCCCTTACTTATGCTGCTGTAGGCCGAGGCTGCTGGGGGACCTCTCATGACGCACCAAGCACTTCTCCTCCACTTTCCTCTCTTCTACTCTGCATGCATTTAAATATCATGTCATTAATTTTTTATGCCCTCCCTTGTAGTTTGTGATATGTCCTCTCTGTCCTTGTCTCTCTGCCCCTTTATTTCAGGTATCTCTGACTCTGAAACCACCTTCATGTTCCTGTCGGTGGCTGCTGGCCCCACCAACATGCCAAGAGTTTATGATTTCATTCTTTATTTGTGGCATCTCTATACTCTCTCCTCTCTTTACTTGCCTGTCACTCTATACTCTTTATACTTCATTGTTTTTGTCTTCACTGTCACCAAGGGCTCATGGGGGAATCGTTAGATTGTTGTGCTTCTATCTATAATCTTGTAGACTCTTTACCTTACAATGTGCTAAAGTCGCTGTTGTTGTGAGGAGGTGCAATGTAATGAAAGTGAACTGTAATCCATTTGGGATTTTAGATCTTTCCATGCTGTATGCTCCTGTGTGGCAAAGCTCACTCACAAATGGACTTACCTTTCATGTTTGCTCACTGTTATTTATAATTTCACATACAACACAGACTCTCCTGCACCTTCAGCACAGCCTGGTGTGGCCGTGCACGCCCAGTCAATCGCCCAGGCTTACTGTGTCTGCATCTACACCAGCTGCCATCTTTAGCTGTGCTTCCATGGAGTGTGCAGGTCCCAGGGTGCTGCTGCATAAAAAGGAGACACTGATTAGAAAATAATCAGCTGCTCTGTCACTCCTAGACACTGACTCAGCTGAAGGGGGAGAGGTGGAACAGAGCGTTCAAACTTTCTACCACACCCTCAGTTAGAACCGGGCTGTAACTGGTACTGGAAGGTTGCTGAGCGAGGTACACTGGTGTCTAAGCAAAGTCCTGCTACAATAAAGCATTTCACCTCAGCAGCCATATGAATACATCCTTTTTTCCTTTCTGTTGCTGTGATGCACTGCAGGGATAAATAAAGTTGTGGTTGACATGTACCTAGAACTACAGAAGAGGAATGACAATGAATCGAGTAATGGTTTTTTTAGTGGCAGGCAATTTCAAATGCATCTTTTCATACAAATCAACAAACATCAGCAAACTCAGACACGGATTCTGCACGGTTAGTCATAAAATGTGTCTGCTAGCCAAATGTACAGCTGCTGTGTTTGCCAAGGAGAGGAAAAAAGGTTAATGAGTGACACCGAGAGATGGCGAAAGATTTAAGAAAGAGAGGAAGGAGATTAAGAGAGCTTTTTCAAATGCAAGGACTGCAATTAAGTGAAATTTAAATCTTAAATGGTAAACAGGCTGATTCTCATATAGGACTGTTCTATTCTCCCAGAGCACTCAAAGGATTTCATACATCATGCCACATCCACTGATTTGCACAAGCACTTTTTTGTATGCTTAAGTGTGCTCTGTCTAACATTCATACTGCAGCAGTGGACAGCAACTCGGGGTTAGTATCTTGCTCAAGGAGATTTGGCATGAAGATGAGAGCAGAGATCGAACCTTCTAAGTAGTAGATGGCCTGCTTTACCTCCTGAGCTACAACCAGCACAAAATGTAATGTCCTAATTAATTTTAAATATTTTTTTCTTAGAGACCAGATCTAAACATCATTTGTGCTGAATGGTGTTTTTGTGAAATGCCATGCAAACCTGGTGCAGACCAGGAATGTGGTATTCACTGATTAGACACCTGATTCTACCTTTCGTCTAGGTGCTGGAAATCAGCCCTATATATCATGTAACATCTGCTTCTCTTGAATTCATTTTGCTTAATCCACAAGGTCAGATGTTCAAAGCTTGTACGCAAAGAAAATCTGCTGAAGTTCGCAATAGAAATTTGTATGTGATTCATTTCTGTTGTTTCTTTTACTAACCCTGTAACTTAAACCACTGGTTCTACTCTGCTTGCTTACACTTTTATATGATTACAGCTTCTGAAACTTTACTGTGTGCAATAACATAATTGGCTAGGGTGTTTTCCACTATGATTGCTGATTGACACTTTTGGGCCAGGATAATCGCCGTCTTTAGTATTCGAGAATTTTCCCATCGATTTCTCCTCCTTCTGCTTTTGAGTGCAAAAGAACAATGCCTCTGTATTCCCTAAATTGGATGTGGCATTTGCTGTGCTTTACTTCTCTTCTGTCAAATTTGCTGGCTGAGAATTTTCAGAAAAGAGATAATAACACCTGTGTCTCTCTTTCTCTCTCATTGTTGTAAGTCTGTCATCTGTTCTCAGTTTTGATTAGGCAAAATGTAATTTTCTTGGGAGGATTTTTTTTCACATGTCACCCTGGTCTAGTGATTGGGGCACAGTGACTTATTATACTTGAAAATTCTTCCAAGCATTTTGTATCTTCAGAGCCCGAGGTTATTCTGTTTGGCCTCACAGTGTTGCAGCTGTTACTGACTGAAACAGTTTCTGCTGCATTGAGGTGGTCCAAGATGTTTCAAAAAAGCTATAACCAGACACACGACCAACAGTTGAATGCATGACTGAATGAATCAATTTTGTACTGATGTCAGCCTCTGATGTTCACTTCACGAAGTCCTTCATAGAGCAACTGTCAAATAATTGTGCCCTTCTCTCCAGAAGCATGAATATTAAACTGGATCTGATTCATCACACGACATCTTCTATTCTTCTAAAGAGTAGCACCTTTGAGACATGCAAGGAGAATTTTCACAAAACCCACATAGCCCACAAGTTACGTCTTCAAAAAAAATCAAATCGCACAGTGTGAAGCATCTCCTGCCTTTAACTAAACTGGCACAGACACTGATGAGCAGAGAGCACATTAATCAGTAAAATGTCAAGATGTCTTTTGTGTTTGTTTAGCGAACTAAAACGTAATGAAGCCCAGCTGAGTAAATGTGTCAGATCTCATTATAGCTGCTAACATGAGCAGTCACCAGCTTAAACTTTGAAATGCGGTAGTTTCTAAAGACCTTGTTGTTTAATTTAGGTTCTAATCAGACCCTCCAGGTCTGGAAAATAAAGTTACTGCAGAAATGAGAAAAAAGTGCAGTTTCTCTAATAGCCACATGGAGCCAATTCTTAAAGGGAGTTACTTCCTATAGACTGCATTGTTAGCATACCCATCTTTACAAGAGAAATGAACATGTTCACAGCCTGGTACACAAAACAGTTTTGATGTGTGCAACTAAAGCTTCCTACTTAAGTCAACATTATTAAATATTTCATTTAGTCAAATATTTAATTATATTAAGGCCTAAATCTATTAAATTCATCAGGTCATTGTTTAGGTAATGATGGCAGGCTGTTACCTAACAGTACAGGGATGCTGGCAAAGGCTGTTGTAGCTTCTAGGTGTCATCTGTGATTGACCTCTGCTAACCTAAGTCACTGAATCGAACCACTTTAAGTGTGTTTGTGCACTGGTGCAATAGTTAGCATGACCCAAAAGCAGCTGGAGACATTATAGTAGCTATAACCATCTTGTATACAGTTTATAATCAATATTTGACAACAGAAACAAGGTTACAATGTGGTGTAAAAAAACAACAACAAACAAACAAACAGTTTTGATCTCTAAAGCTAATTTTCTCATCTGGATGAAACATTCCTCCCACAGAAAATCTAGAACAGAATCAAATTTCTGGGATTTCCTTACTAGGCTGATCGAGCATGCATCACCACTTTCACTTAGGGTGTTTTCCACTATGATTGCTGATTGACACTTTTGGGCCACTCACCTACCACTTTGTTTGGTACAATGCCTTAATTCATAATGTCATAGAATTATCAAGTTGCTGGAAATATCAAAGACTTTGGTTCATATTTCGATGGCAACATCACACAGAGATTTGGTGAATATAGAAGGTATTTCAGCGCAGTGACGTAATTGGCTGAGTTTCGTGACATGGAACGTCACCATGGTGAAAGCAGCCATCAGAAGATGGATACACTGTTGGACATGGTCAAGAGTATTGGAGCAAGCACTGTGTCACTGTGACATTTAAATGATGCTCAGTCCAGTGTGTGGCATGATGTCCCCCACACCATTACACCACCATCAACAGCCTGAACTGCTGACACAAGGAAGGATGTTGCTTTCATATTATTCACGCCAAATTCTGACACTAATATTAATGTTGCCGCGGAAATCAAGAATCATTGGACCAGTCAATGGCATTCTTACAATCTTCTTTTGTTTAATGGTGGCCAGCCTGTGTGAAGCATATCTTCAATTTTCTGTTCTAAACTGATGGGAGTGGTCTTCTGCTGTTGTTTAGAGATGGCGTTCTACATAACTTGGTTGAAATTGAGTTACTCTTGCCTTTTTTTATTCTTTTTCTACCTGGATCACCTGTTGAGGAAAAAAAAGAGAGCAATATGATAAACTACATCGCGATAATCTATGCGTATATAACAGTAAATACTAAATATTGAATATTATTGTGCAGCACGTAAGATAGACAGCGCACAGTGTGCTTTGAGGTAGAAGCCAAAAAAGGTGTAGTTTGTTTGTGAGCACCTGTGTGTACACCTGTGAGCATGAGCGCGCTTGTTTTCAAAAGGTTCCTTCATGTAACAATCTGCTAGAGCCTAATCCCCCAGGGAATAAGGCAGGTATGGAGAAGATCCAGGCTCTAGACATCCAGAGACACCCAGAGTGCAAGACTCCAGGGAAGACCAACGGAGGGGCAACCGTGCCAATCTCCCGGAAAGAGATGAGGAGAGTCCCAGATGAGGGGTCACCCAGCAGCCGTGGAACAGAAGCCAGGGGGAGGTTGCAATGAAATGCCCGTGAGCTCTGCTGGCAGCCAGCTGTGCCAGAGTGGATCGAGCCCCAGGCCCAGGCTGAGGGGACCCCACCTCCCGAAAGGGCCCGACCCTTTAAGGTGCATTTAAAACCCAGGAGGGCATGGAGCTACCTGCCAGAGAGCAGTAGGTTAGCGCATAGCCCCTCCCGAGAACCCTCAATGTATACATGTATTTAAAATTGAGAGGTGAGCAGTAGGCAGGGGTACTCTTGCCTACTGTATCATGTCTAGCCATTCGCCTCTGACCTCTGACATCAACAAATCTTCACCACAGCCATGTTTTCCTGTGTGTTTCACAGTATGTAATACCAGTTTCTGTAAGAATAAGATGCACACACATACACCTACTTTGTTAAAAACACTTCTTTGTGATTTAGATTCAGTCCAAACTATAGAATTTTCCTCATTATAAACCACAGCTGACTCCACACTTCTCTTTTCCCTTGGTTAATCCCATTGATTGGCTCCTCATTTTATTCAGATGAAAGGCAAATGAGGTATCATTAACAAGGAAACAATTTGTAACACAAAGCCCATGCAATGCTTGCTGCAACTCAGACACCTCCTCTCTGAGGGAAGATACCTCAGCAACAATAAACCACAGCACGGATTATGGATATCAGTTTCCTCCTGTGAATTTCACTCGATCACTAATGCAGAGATTTTCTTTGGGAAACACGCCTTTGTATGCGTGCTGCTGTTGATCAGTGCTGTACAACAGCTGGAAAAAAAGGGCTGTCAGAGTTAATATGGTGCTGCTTGTCAGCATGTTGGGGCTATCCCGGACGAGCTGTTAGAAAAGCTCGTGTTTTACTGTGGCTATTTATTGTAATGGGTTGAATCCTCAGTGGGGAGATTTATAGGGCGTCCCCGCAGCACATACAGCTATGGGGAGGATGTGAGCCTTGACACCAATGTGGCAAAGAATTTAGTGTTTGACAGGCAGTTAGCACCAGGTCAGATGGCTTGCTGCCACTGATGCCCCTTGTGCTAATGAGAGAAACTGTCTGAAATGAGTTGTTGAGTCTGTTTCCCTCCTTGCTGTCAACTGTTTCTGCAGGAGACTGTCCTCCTTCAAAGAACAAAACCATAGGTCATTTGTACAAGCATCTCATCATGACCTGCGTTTACGTTCTAAATTTAAACACCCTCCAGAACATAGTGAGAGCACGAAAATGTGTTCTGAGCCATCACCTTGAGATCTGGAAGCCTGTTAACTTAGGTTTAAAAGAAAGCTCTTGCTTTCTATC